CCAGCACTGTGTGTGTGTGTGTGTGGAGAAAACATACATCTGCCACAGAAGGTGAATAGTTTTTAAAACAGCCTAAATGAAGCAACCTAAAAGCCTTGCGTGCTTACTTGTACTCTTGCACGAACAACATCCATAGGGTTTGTGATGGTGGAGGCGGTTGCTGCTGCCATTGGTCCTGCCACAGCCTGCAGGATCAGGTGGGGACACTGACTTGGTGCTAATAAAGACAGCTGTTCTGAGAAGGTAAAGAATAGTAACACAGTGTAAAGCCAAAATATGCCAATAAAAGTGCACATCTGCCATTCAGACCTCAGTAGTCTGACATAGTTGTCAACCTTGAATGTCAGGAGATGCCATGCTAAAGACAGGAAAAGGGTGTTGATGTACCTGCATAAAGATGATAAAAAGGCCACCAGAGAGCACTGTTGGGGATGTATGTGAGCAGCGATGCCAGGTAGCCCCGGTAAAATCCCCTGAAGCCGTCGGCTGTGAATATCTGCACGGTGATGTCTCGCGTCTGCCCAAAGGTAGGCCTGCGTTTGGTTGTAGCGAGCATCATTTTGGGTTTGACTTTGAAGCGGGACAAGTGTTCCCCTTGGCCTTGCATCATCAGGTGCTGGGACACCACATCTATGGGCACGGTGATGGTCTGAGCCACCAGGGACGCTGCTCCTCCTGCCACTACTGACTTGACCGTGTTGCTGGGCGTGTGAAAGGACACATACCTGCGCACCAGTTCGTAGGTGGTGATGTACGCCTGACCAGCCACCAGAGTGAACGTGTTGATCATGAAGCCACGGTACAGGCCCCTCATGCCCTCTGCTCCCAGAATTTTGCAGAAAGCATCAAAGGTGCCAGAGTACAGGGCTTTTCCTTTCTGCACCTGCAGGCGGGTACGAATCAGGCTGAAGGGGTAGACCGTGGCCCGGGTAGTCAAGGTCATGAACACACCCAGTGAGTAGAACTTCCTCTTGTCCAGGTCCTCCCATTCGATAATCTGGATGGCACCTTTCTGCTGCATGGCGCCGGTCAGGGCAGCGTCACCGCCCTAAATCCACAGAACACGTGAGCTTCGGCCACACTCACACATCCATCCCTTGTTTTAGGGCCTGGACCCCAGGAACCCAACAGTGCAATCTGTAAAGAATCACAGAAGTTTAGAAAAATAAACACCAAGCTTATGGTTCCTTTTGCTCAAAGATGGTTCTCAAATTATTAAAAAAATAATAAAAACTAGATACGGCATAGCGATAGCATAAACATATGCAAAGCACCCACACACTAGAACTCACGGTTGTGGCTGTTTAAGATGTTCTTGTATTTATATGAGAAGTGACTTTAGAATGGTCTTTACAAATAAAATATTTTGCTGATGGAAAACTTAAAACAAAAGATCAGATCAAAGGAAAAAAATTGTATAGGTCCTCTGGACGGGTTCTTCTTTAATGAAACGTTTCGTCTCTCTTCCAAGAG